AGGTGATTTGTCAAGTTTGATCGTTTTGACTTGCGAATGCGTGATAATGATTTTGTTAAAGTTTTGTACGCGTTCGAGGTATGTGTTTATCGCTTTCTATACTTTAGCATATTCATGATACTTAGACTTTTTACGATTTTTATGTCATTCATTCTTTTGTATACTTGTTCATTTGTGAATCACTTTAGTTCCTACCTTTTTTGTGAGGTAGCCTTCCATTATTCACATATGCTGGAGACCACAATTCTTGTTTTAGCTGGATTTTATTATGCTTAATCTTTTGTTTGTGTTGATTGTATGAAAGCTTGAACATGATCAAGGCATTTTTTTGTTTCATTTCGAGCATAACTACCTTGGCCAAATAATTCAATTCACCTTTTGAGTGTGTGATCATTAGTAATCCCTTTAAGCTTTTTATTGATATCCATGTTGTATTTGCTAAATGCTTGTCTATGAGTGTTTAGTTTCCCTTTTTGCATGGATGTTGATTTGTTATTTTCTTGAACCCTCAACCATTGTTTTGGTTTGAATTTTCACCTTGTCTTAGAAAGTATGGAGTATTCACTTTAATGTATGGTTGATTTCAAGTTGGGGAGAAAAATGATTGTATATTTATTGGTTAATTTTTATGAGGTTGAAAATAAAAAGAAAATAAAAAAGTGAGAAAAGAAATGGAAAAAAAAGTGATAGAAAAAGAAAGGAAAAGATACAAAAGCTTTGAAAAAGAAAAAAAAAGTATGGAATAATGTTGTGTTGAATAAGTGATGTGTGTTGGTTTGAAATTTGGGATGAAGAATAAGTTTGATTGAAATTATATTATTTGAAACTTTGTGGAAGTAATTACTCCATTAGGTTTAGGCAAGTTTTTTGTTTCGACTAGCTTTAGGACTTATCACTTGTTTGTTAACCAAGCCACATTAAAACCTTGAAAAGCCCTTGAGATTCTTGCTTTTATATTTTCAATGTAAATTTTTGAATAAATGTATAATTTAGTCTATTGTTCGCAAGATTGCTGGATGAGTGAAATTACCCTATTTTTGTGTGTTTTTCATCTACTGATGATTGTGTTTGTTAGGTGTGATTCATTTGTGAACTAGTATTTTTTTTAGAATATTTGGCATAATTTTTTATTTAGAATTTGTTTCATGTTTATGTTATAGTCGTAGTTTAGTGGTAAGTGTTTACTTTGTGTGTACTATTTTTCATTTGAACCATTGTGTTTGTTTTCTATTTTTAAAACCTGTTGATTCCTGATTCTTTGATTATCGTCTTTTGCTTCTTTAAGTTTATTTGACTTTGTTTGAGGATAAACAATATTTTAAGTTGGGGAGAGTTTGATGAGTGCTAAATTATTTTGAATTTGAGTGTGAATAATTAGCACTCATCGGCTTAGTTCGTTTACTTTTTGTCAATAAACCTCGTCTTTAGTGTATATTCGGTATAGTTTATGTTATAGTGTATTTATTGCGTTATTGTGTAAATATCATTGAGTTTAATTAATTTTATCTCATTTTATACGTATTCAAGCATTGATATTTAGGCATTATTAGAAATAGCATTGAATAAGCTTTTCAACGCTTCCAACCGTGCGCGAACCGGAGTTACAGTTCAAAACTTATGGCTGAATTTGTGCTGGTTTTTCAACTTTCTGTCATCTGTCGCCGGACAATGCTTTTTGGTCGTCGGACGATTCTGGAGTGACCTGAAGCGTGGAAAAAATGCATTTTCGATCGCCGAGCGACGATTTTTGGTCGACGGGCAACGCAGGACAGGCAGAAATGCGTATTTAGGGGGTAAAAACATGTTTTTTTTTATGGTTTTGGATATTTTTTATCCCAACTCCATCAACCTTCATTTTTGGATAGGATTAGCTTAGAAAATAATATTGAAGCTTGCATACGGATAATCCAGGGTAGATTGCTCATCAATCGGCTATGACAAACCGGTAGATTTATGATTCATTTATCTTCCTCTTTGTGTATTCTTTATGTGTTGAGTTTGTACATGTATTTACTCTGAACTTATGTATATTTGTCGCCCATGGCATCATATTAAACTTGCTTTACAAATTTTTGTTGATTGTTGACTTAGATTTTTGCTCTGTGCTAGAAATTTGAATTGTTATAGACATATATTGTTTAGATTCTTATCTGGGATGATTATCTGTTAGTTTCTAAACTCTAGAGATAGATTTAGAGCTGACATCTACTTAGGTATTAGAGCTTAATGCCTCTGTATGGTTGTGATATGCTGAGAGATCGTTAGTGCGATTACATAGTTGTCTTCTATATTGTTGAGGAGGTAGAGAGATCATTTCCTTGGTGATACAACCAGTCTCTCAATTTGAGTTAGAAATGACTTAGGTTGTGGGTGATACATAGTGACATTGATGAGTATTGTTAGGTTGAGTGTAATTGGTCGATAGATTTAAGTGTGTGATGAGTAAATTATATGCAGGTTTGATAAGTTCTTCTTTAGTTTTTTGTTTTGTTTACATTTATTTTCTGTTGATAATATTTACTTGATAAATCCATTTATCCCCAAACTCATTAACGAGATTTGTCGAACGGAAATTCAATAACTAATCTTTATGGATAAGATAAATTTATGGATAAATATTTCCAAAACTTTTGTTGCTTGCCACTATAACGTTCCAACATGATATTCACATCACAAATTTTTTTTTTTAAAAACTCTTACTCCCACCATGTTAACGTTATGTTCATTAATTTAATACTAAAAATATTAGTGACATGATTATACGTCGTAACTGCCTTTTTTTGCCACATGATAATCACGTTACGAATTAACATTGTTGGGAAGAGTTTTTTTATAGTGAAACCACATAATTCTGGTTGCTTTGTAGTATAGTTTATGGATGAGTATGATAATGCTACCATTAATAATAGGATAGCAGTTGGGGGAGAAGAACAAGCCATAATGGTAAGGTGGAAACCTCTAGATAATAATTGGATTAAGTTAAACACATAAGGAGCGAGTAAGGAAAACATGGTCGATGATTATAGAGGAAACACTCGAGACTCTCCAGGAAGGTGCAAAGGTGGTTTTCCGAAACCCATAGGAATGTGTAGTGCGATTAAAGTTGAACTGTGGGGATTTTTCTAGGGTTGAAAATCACAAAGAGATTAAGGTTGAGGTATGTAGAAATTAATATGGATTCTATGAAGGTTGTCAAATGTTAGAAGATGATACAATATTGGTAGTTGATGGTCTTGCTTTGACCAAACTAATAGAGTGACATGATGAATTTAAAGTGGCACATATATATCGGAAAACAAACAAATGTGTGGATGCGCAATAAAAATACAAAGGATACTCGTCCGAAGTCATTTCATCGATAAGAATTAAGAAATTCAACAGATAAAGACTCTACAAAAAGAAATTACAACTAATTTTGAAAGTAGAACCACTTACATTCCAAAGTCATGAAAGTAATATTGCATTGTGCACCACCTCCCCTACATTAAAGACTTGTGCATTGAATGACATCTCATTGCTCATCCACCATAATGCCCAACCTATTACCAACCACAGTAACAACCTCTTCCTAGACCCCAAGAAACCACCCAACACTTTACTAAAAACATGAAATTGAATCTACTAAAGTCACCAAATTCACACATCTATGTATTTGAGTCATTAATGACCGATCAATCAAGATTCAATAGTTAATACATATTTTAATTTTAATTTTATAATTTTACTAAACTCAAATTTAAATTGTCTGAAGTTAATCGAACAATTATCACTTCTTTGAATTTGTGCATTGTTGTCTTCAAGGAAACCTTATTCCTTTGAAAATAGAGCATTTTCAACTTAATTTTAAAAAACGTCACCACAAAAACGTTTTACGTTTCATTTTGCACTAGTGGATGCATCACTAATAAAAGGGACACATTGCTATGATTTTGCCCTAGCTAAAGTTCACCTACATGACAACACCTAATGCAATCCAATTCAACAGAGAAATAAATCTGTCTCCAAATTTGAAAAATATATTCATTACTCATTTCACAACCAAACTTGGAACCAACAGTAATAGACAAAGTGTCACATTGTAAATTATCATGATAGACACAAAGAGAGACAATGGGAACAATACAACTAGACAAAAGTAAAGAAAACAAGATACGCATTACTTTTCATTCAATCGAGAGGTTGGGCTTAAACAGTTAATATTGTTCACAGGTTGTCACGGCGGAATCTTTTTCCCAGCGATGAGGAGTGAAAGACATCACATGCCACGGTCGTCCAAACCTTAAAATATGTATATTTATTTCCATCCATTTTTAACTTATATATACTATTCTAAAGTTTTTTTATACTTTTTTTTCTCCTAAACTAGATAACATCTACATTTCTGGAATATATATATATATATATATATATATATATATATATATATATATATATATATATATATATATATATATATATATATATATATATATATATATATATATATATATATATATATATTATGAATTTTAATAGTTACTGTTATTTCATGTACCAATGAAAAATATAAAAAAAATACATATTAACAATTAGCTATAACCAATAAATTATTTAAAATATTTAATTGAAATCATAATTAATTTGACAATCACAAATATAAATAGTTGTATTTTTTTTATAACTGATATTCGGCTATGAGATTCAAAATCACAAATATAAATAATTGTATATTTTTAAAACTAATATTTGGCTATGAGATCAATTAATTTAAGATGATTAATTTTATTGTTTACTAAGGAAAGAAATTTAGTTAGGTCTAACTCAATTCTACAAAATCGACTTGTAAAATAAAAAATATTCTCATTCATAAAAACATGCTCAAATTATATATTATCTAATATGAGACTCTTAACGTAGTGAATATCAATTAAACTTAAACTTTTTAATATTGACATTTTATTTTCAACTGTTTGTATATAAATACCAACATAGCTGCATAAACTTTTTCACTATCACCACAACAACCTATACTTTTCAGCATTTCTTTTTCTCTCTCTAAAATATACCATCCTCGCTCACCTAAACCCACCAACTTTTTGAACATGGAAAACACCATAAAGCTTCAAATTACTTGTGTCCTATTCATGTTTTTAATTTTCAACCAACAAGTTATGTTTGTTGAAGGGAGGAGTTTGAGGTCTCGGTTATGTAGAGGTTGCTCAAAGCGTCACAAAAGCTCCATTATTCATCATCAAAGAAGAAAGTCTTCAAGACGTGTAGAGTATGAAGTGGATGATTTTAGGCCAACATCACCTGGTCATAGTCCAGGTGTTGGTCATTCCATCAACAATTAACAACAGTTTAGAAAATGTATCTATGGAATGGAGTCATCAAAACCTTATCGTTTTCTCTACTAGTTAAGCACTGACTTTTTTTTATATCAAGAGCTAATTACTAGTTGAGGAAAAAAAGTTGTTCTATGCATGCATGGCTATGAATTAAGCTAGCACTCTGTATTATTTTTTCTTTGTTTTCTTTTCTCTTATTTGGCTTATTAGTCTCAAAGTTAGAGTAGCGTCGCTTATGGTAGCCACCAGAAAAAAGGAAAAGAAGAAATGTGATGTATCTTGTCGTGTATTTGATCTTTATTAATTGATTATGTAATTAATTTGGACTTTTGGTACATACACTATGGTTTCTTTTGTTGGTAAAAATAGTTAATATCTCTTATGATTAATAGTGGATAGTTTATAGTTAATGCTTGATTTAAAAATAGTTAATATCTCTTATGATTAATAGTTGATAGTTTATAGTTAATGTTTGATTGTTAGTGTGTGAGACACTTTTAGTGATGAGAGAAAGAGAGAATAAAGGAAATAAGAATTATATTATTGATTTGAATTATTACAAATAATGATACAAACTAGTCTATTTATATATAACTAACTTGTACACTAAGTACACTAACAAACCCTAATATAGTTTGGGCTTGGATTACACAATTTATATTATATCTAATACTATATCTAATATTTTATTATATCTAATATTTAAACATACCCCCCATAATCCAAGTTGTCGAACTTACGCTAATCATAGTCGATCTGAGCTATTTCTAATTTCTTTCTCAAATTCAGGAATTTGTCAATCTTCAATCATTTAGTTAAAATATCGGTCAATTGTGCTTCACTTGAGCAATGTTCAACTTCAAGTTCACCTCGATTTAACTTTTCCCTCAAGAAGTGAAATCTGACTTCGATATGCATACTTCTTCCATCCAGAACTGGATTCTTCGCCAGATTTATGGTTGACTTGTTGTCGATTTGCAACACAAGAGATTTCTTCACTTCTACCTCCATTTCTTCAAGTACCGATCTGATCCAAATTGCTTGACATCACTACTCCAAAAAGGGCTTTTAACAGTGCACATTAGACAACGCTTTTATACAAAAGCGCTCCTATAAGTGAAATTAAAAAAAAAATACGGAAACTGTATACAATAATAAATAAAAGCGCTGCTAAAATGTGACTTTAGACATCGCTTTTAAAAAGCGCTGCTAAAAGTGTTGATTTAGAAAGTGCTTTATCAAAAGCGCTGGTAAAGGACCACTTTAGACAGCGGTTTTCAAAAGCGCTGTCTAAAGTCATATAAAATTTTAAAAAATAATCTCAAAAGTGCTGCTAAAGGACCACATTAGCCAGTGCTTTTCAAAAGCGCTGCTAAAGGCCCTTATTAGCCAGCGCTTTTCTCAAAAGCGCTGTCTAAAGTCATAAAATTAGAAATTAAAAATTAGAATCAGTATTGTTTCTCTTTTCACAGATCGAGTTCCCTCCTCACGCGAAACCCTTTTCAACATCTCTCTCTCTCTCCACCATTTTCCTCCGTCCTCCACTGTCTCTCTCTGCAAAACGAGGCTCTCTCTCCACCGCTGATCGTCGTCCTCCACCGTCACTTTCAAGGTACTCTTCTCTCTTTCTCTTTCTCTCTGTGAAACCATTGGTTTTATGTTCTAATTCATTTGTCCAGAAAAATATAGTTTGATGATTCAAAATGGCAAGATTTATTTCTATTTCTCATGACTGGAAAATATTAACATCGAATTCAACATTACTGGTTCTTGTTGTTTTTAGGATTTCAAGTGTGCTTGTGTGTGTTAGTCTTTAGTTGTTACTCTGTAGTTTTATAGTTTATTGTTATAATATTTCTGCATGACCGAAATAACGCCTGTTTTGTTCAGTGTTTTCGTTCCAATATTTTGAACGGCACTTAATAGTAAAACAATGGATAAAAAATGGATGTCTGCCGATCGATTATCAAAAGAGTACGAGAATGGGGTATTGGAATTCGTTAAGTTTTCTGTTGAACATGCCAAAGACCCCATTCGAACGAAGTGTCATTTCTTGGGTTGTTGTTATGTGGGTCGGGTTGATGCAGATGGATTAAAATTGCATTTACTGATGCGTGGAATTGATAGAAGTTATACGTGTTGGATATTTCAGGATGAAAAAAGTAACGAAAATGTTGAAGCGGGGGAGAAAAGTAGTACGGCCTATGCTTCAGACGACAAGGACACGAATACATACGATTTTGATCGAGTCGAAGAGATTGCAGAAGCACTTGAAGAAGATCTTCAGGATTGTCCCAAAATGTTTGAGAGATTGGTAAGCGATACAGAGAAACCGTTGTATAAAGGTTGCACTAAATTCACAAGACTGTCCGTGGTATTCAAGTTGTACAACTTAAAGGCGGACAATGGATGGTCGGATAAAAGTTTCAGAGTTATTATCCTTTATGAGAGATATGCTTCCGGAGGATAATGTTCTTCCTAATCAAACCTATGAGGCCAAAAAAATGTTGTGCTCTATTGGCATGAGCCATGATAAGATACATGTTTGTCCAAACGATTGCGTTTTGTTTCGAAACGAATATGCATCGTTAAATGAGTGTCCTAAACGCGGTTTGTCTCGATATAAGAAAAAATTGTCTCCAGCAAAAGTCTTATGGTATTTTCCTATAATTCCGAGATTTAGGCGCATGTTTCATAGTGAAACCAATGCAAGACACCTGACATGGCATGCAGATGAAAGAAATATTTATGGAAAGTATCGACATCCGGCAGATTCACCATAATGGTCGAAAATTGATAATGATTATCCTGATTTTGAAGAAGAAGCAAGAAACCTTCAATTGGCTTTATCTACTGATGGAATGAACCCACATGGTCTTCAAAGTATCTCACATACCACATGGCCTGTGATTCTTATGGTTTATAACCTACCTCCATGGCTATGTATGAAGCGTAAGTACGTGATGTTATCTATGTTAATTTCTGAGCCTAAACAACTAGGGAATGACATAGACGTATACTTGACACCTTTGATCGAAGATTTAAATATTTTGTGGAAGAACGGGGTGGAAGTTTATGATGGATATAGGAAATAAAGCTTCAATTTAAGGGCGATATTGTTTGGCACAATTAATGATTTTCCAGCATACGGGAATCTATCTGGGTATAACATTAAAGGTCAACGTGCATGTCCTGTTTGTGAAGATGGAACCGATATGACGCGTTTGGAAATTTGTCAAAAGAATGTGTTTCTTGGTCATCGTAGATTCTTACATTATAAACATCACTACCGTGCATGGAGAAAAGTATTTAATGGAGACACCAAACAACGTAAAGCTCCATCTGCATTTTCAAGTGACCAAATTTTTGAAAAGGTGAAAGATGTGTATACTCAGTTTGACAAGTCTTTTGCGCATATGGTTGTCAAAGGTGGGTGGAAGAAGAGATCGGTTTTTTTTGAATTTCCATATTGGAAGTCTCTTTATGTGAGACATTTTCTCGATGTTATGCATATTGAAAAAAATGTATTTGAAAGTGTTATTGGTACGTTACTCAATATTAAAGGAAAGTTTAAGGATGACCTTAAAAAAAGGGAGGACATGTTAAAGATGGGAATAGGAACTGAACTAGGACCCGTGAAGAAAGGAAGTCGAACATATCTACCACCTGCTACTTTTACTCTATCTAGAAAGGAGAAAAAGATATTGTGTAAGTTTCTAAGTGAAGTTAAAGTTCCAGAAGGATACTCTTCAGATATTAGAAGACTTGTGTCTATGAATGACCTCAAGTTAAAGAGTTTAAAGACACATGATTTCCATGTTATAATGGAACATTTTCTACCAATAGGTATACGTTCTATTTTTCCAGAAAAAGTAAGGAGCGCGATAACTAAGTTGTGTTTTTTCTTTAGGTCAATTTGTATTAAGGTGATCAATCCTGAGATCTTACCAACATTGCAAAAAGAAATTGTTATTACTTTGTGTGAGCTTGAAATGTATTTTCCTCCCTCATTTTTTGACATAATGGTACATCTAGTTGTTCATCTTGTGAAAGAGACACAGTTGTACGGACCAGCTTATATGAGATGGATGTACCCTGCTGAACGTTATATGAAAATATTAAAAGGGTACATTAAAAACCAAATTTGCCCTTAGGGTTGTATTATTGAGTGATACATTGTTGAAGAAGTGGTTGAGTTTTGTACTGAATATTTGTCCAAAGTTCAATCCATTAGACTCCCCAAAAGTCATATTTTTGAAAAAAAGGAAGGTAAAAGATTAATCGGAAATAAAATTATGATAGTATCAAGGGATGAACGGGATCAAGTGCATCTGTATGTTTTGCACAATGAAAATGAGGTTGAGCCATATGTTGAAATGCACAAGGATGTACTCCGAGGGTTAAATCAGAATAAAAATGAAAATTGGATAGTACGGGAGCACAATCAAAGTTTTATTCCATGGTTTAAGGATCATATTTTTTCAAACTTCATTCAGATCCCGCTTCAATAATAGAAAGGTTGAGATGTTTGGCATATGGTCCAAGTTTGCATGTATTTTGTTATAGCGCATACGCAATTAATGGATACACATTTTATACCAAAGAACAAGATGATAAAAGTACTATGCAAAATAGTGGTGTCACTGTGCTTGCTGAAGCAATGCACATTTCAAGTATGAAGGACCTAAACCCCAAATATGAAAATATGTCATATTTTAAGGTTATCGAGTATATTTGGGTGTTCGATTACGAGAAGTTTCAGATTCCTATCTTTGGTTGCAAGTGGATAAGTAGTAGTGGCATACGAATGGATAAGTCATAATTTTTGCAAGTGAATCTTAATAGGGAGGGGTATAAAGATGAGCCTTTTATTCTAGTTTCTCAAGCTAAACAAGTGTTCTATGTCACTGACCCGGCGAGTACAAAATGGTATATAGTGATTTTATCTAACAAACTGGTTGATGATAACGGTGTAGACCAAGGTGATATTGATGATGAGAATGAGT